ACAACTTTGGGGTTCTTATTTGGCCTGTGGACACCAATTAGGATGCTTCTGGTTACTTACATGTTAATTACTTAGGGTACATCTACACAGCAACATTATTTCGAAATAACTAGCGTTATTTCAGAATCACTTAGTCCACGTCTACACAGCAGGCAGTTATTTCGAAATAATGTTGAAATATGTCAAGTTGGAGGACTTCTTACTCCGACTCCTGTAACCCTCATTATACAAGGAGTAAGGGAAGTTGGAGGAAGAGTGCTCTATTTCGAAATAAGTGCTGTGCAGATGCTCCCAATGTCTAAGTAAGCTACACAATTGATGTACCTCAATTTACGTAGCTTATTTTGAGTTAAGCCCTGCTGTGTAGACACCCCCAGAGGTGCAAACAATGGCTTTCCACATTAAGTAGTAGATGGAACCCAACCTGCTTGTGCCTTGTCATTCTAAATTACGGCTGTCTATGTTTTACCATGGCACTCACTTTTACACTAATTACTCCAGGACCAAAACAAAAAACAAACAAAAAAACCTCACCCCACTCAAAAAGTCAAAAAGTGTAGAGTGGCCAGAGTGAGGGGAGGAAAGAGGGAAGTTTACCTGCATTATCTTCTATTTTCAAGAAGAGAGAAGTTTCTTTTTGGTTAAATTAAATACAACTACTGTTCCCCCTAAACTCTTTTTACTCAGCTTAATGGAGCATAGTCTCACTGGGAGTTCATGTGGAAATATGAGGAATAGGTTCCTAACTATCTGCTGTGAAGTGGAAACACATTTCAAAAATTCCCCCAGTCTCTTCATATTTCCTTTGAGTTATAAACGGCAGGATCTAAAAGCTGGCTCGAGTTGAAGGTTTGTTGTGAAGGGGACGGTGTCTGTTTTCTAATTTATAGGTTTTAAAAATATATAGTCAGTAAAGAGAGCATTTCATAAATAGTCTCCTGGAACATTAAAACTCACGAGTGAACCAATTACCCCTCAAAAGAGCAACAATTGAAGCTGTCAGCTAGTACCAGGGCATAAAGAATATTGAGAGCAGAATGGCAATTACTGACTTGGAAAACAAGTGTCTCTGGGATGACAATTTTCACATACAGAGAATTTTTAGATCAGGCAGGGATTTATTAAAAAGGAGTTGTTTCGTGTCAACAGACAGACACATACACACATGATTATTGGACCAGAGGATCCTTAGCTAGAGAAAACTGGCACAGACACATTGAATTCACTAGCGTTGTGTTGATTTATGGCCCAGGATCAACCAAACAAACTTCTGCTGAATTGGCTAGGCCTTACACATGGTAGACTTCAAAGAGCCACAAATATATGCTTCTTTATTCTCCATGGTACTGAATGCCTGCCACTCCTACTGAAGTCAACTCAATACCTTTGGAAACATCAGACTAAACTGGGCTTGCTGCACTTCCTATGAAAGGTCTGTATGACTCCATATGTGACACAGCTGGTAAAACAAAGACACTGAGGGCATTCACATCCATCTTTCTGGGCTGAGGCCAGAGGATTGGTCATGGCATAGAACTCTTCTTGCAAAATATGAATGTGGTGTAATGAAACATGGAGGGTTACTTCATCCAACTGCAGATCCTCTGTCATCCATCTGCTCTGCTACTCTGGTGAACTGTTTGAACATTCATCCCTAAGCCACTCTGCCATAGTCCACCCACCTATAAAATGGATATAATGATACCTAACTCAGATGTACATTCTGAAGTTGGTAGATTTTTATAGAGTGCTTTGAGCTACTCTGATGACAAGTGCTAAAGAAGTACAAAGCATTACTGGGGAAATGGTCTGAGGTAAATAGGATGAGGTTTAATAAGGACAAATGTGAAGTACTTCACGAAAGAAGGAACAGTCAGCTTCACACATACTGAATGGGAAGCGACTGTCTAGGAAGGAGTACAGCAGAAAGGGATCTAGAGGTCATAGTGGACCACAAGCTAAATATGAGTCAATAGTGTGAGATGGTTGCAAAAAAGCAAACATGATTCTGGGATGCATTAACAGGAGTGCTGTGAGCAAGACACAAGAAGTCATTCTCCTGCTCAACTCTGCACCGATTAGGCCTCAACTGGAGTATTGTGTCCAGTTATGAGCAGCACATTTCAAGAAAGATGTGGAGAAATTGGAGAAGTTCCAGAGAAGAGCAACAAGAATGATTAAAGGTCCAGAGAACATGACCTATGAAGGAAGACTGAAAGAATTGGTCTTGTTTAGTTTGGAAAGGAGAAGACAGAGGGGACATGATAGCAGTTTTCAGGTATCTAAAATGGTGTCACAAGGAGGAGGGAGAAAAATTGTTCTCCTTGGCCTCTGAGGATAGGACAAGCAGCAATGGGCTTAAACTGCAGCAAGGGAGGTTTAGGTTGGACATTAGGAAAAACTTCCTAACTGTCAGGGTTGTTAAATACTAGAATAAGTTGCCTAGGGAGGTTGTGAAATCTCCATCTCTGGAGATATTTAAGAGCTGGTTAGATAGACATCTATATCGGATAGTCTAGACTCGATGACCTCCTGAGGTCCCTTCCAGTTCTAGTGTTCTATGATTCGATGGTTATTAACAGAGCTGGTCAAAAATTGAAATTCCAGTGAAAAATGATTCACTATTTTGAAGTTTATTTTTTTAAACCATCTCTAATTATTAAGAGCTTCCTAAAGTGTTTCTGAAGTTAACACGTATCTGAAGCCTGTGAGCTCCTAACATACAAGTAGCAGCAGTTCAAAACTTACCCTCTTCCTGGATTTTATTCGTAGAAGGAATTCAAAATGGAGCACCTTAAAATCCAGCCCAAATCTCTTCTCCAGGCATGGCTGCTCCTAGTGGTCCTCCTCTCACAGCCTAATTTTTATGCTGTTGTCTTCAGGCTCTTGTACTACATCCATCACTGTGGTATCAAAGCACCTTCCAGGTGAGCATGAAGTGATATGACTCACATCTCTGAGGTGTTTTTCCTTCTAGAGAGCTAATCCCATCACTCCTTATAACCAAGCAGGGGAAAAAACTGCTTCAACCAGCCAGCAGAATCCCATTCATTTTCCAGCTGGTTTAACACCTGTTAGCAAGGTGGGATGTTCAGGTAAACATTAGAAGATGTTCATGCTTGTAGCAGTCTGGAAAAGCCCTCCTTGCCATAGCTGCTCTTACTACATGGATCTACAAATAGGTAACCAAGAAGCCTGTACAAGACTGAAGGCTGCACTATAAACTGAAGAGCTGTACTTCCCTCTGCAGATTTGAACAAGGAGGAACATGTCAAATTCAGAGGGAGTGCAGGCTGGCAAACAAGGGACAGGTTAAATCTATTATAGATGGGACTGTGCTGTGAAGTCCTTGACAGATGGATAAGAATCTTGCCAATGGATTTCATGGTGACAAGCAAGAATTCTGAACAAACTCCCCAGATCTGTCTTTATAAAGTTCCTGTGAAAACAAAGTCTGAAGAGGACAACTTTCAAGCCGAGTTGATGAGCCTTCTGGCAACCTCTGAAACCCTCTCCTCCAAAACCTTTACCATGGTGTCCTAGATGGGTGTTGCAAGCTGGATCTGTCACAGCAGACAAGCTATTTTAAATCCAGATTAGCTTGAAAATGAAAGCTTGTCTACAGGGGATTCACACTGTAGAGTTGTTGGATGGAGGAGTACAAAGTTCCATGCTGCTTGCTTGAGTTGTTTCCTCAGATTTTCTGCATGAGGGCTCTGAGTTATTTAACATTCTTAGTACCCAAACAAGAATCACATGCTTTGCCCACTTTTAAAGTCAAGCAGTGGCAGACACTTCTGTTTTCATCTTTACTTTTCTTCTTACAGACTGCTGTCAGAGGCCTATAATTGCCAGGAACCTTTTGCCTGGAATTAGCTTTCACCTTTCTTCATTTCACAAATAGAGGAACAATTACAGGCTGTTCTCTTCTTTTTTGCCCTCTGCTATCCAGACATGCTGGCCTGCTATCACACATCTTTCTTTTGTCTTGGGTGCTAGCACAGTCATGAAGTGCTTACTAAAGAAGGATCTGCTTAATTATTTTCTTCAAACACTACATTGGAATCTTTATCTCACACTCAGAGATTACGGCGTGGGCTTTTTGGCTGGTACCCCGTGCAAGTGAGGCTAGCCAGTCAAAAGGAGCTCTGGGTGGTAGAAACCACCTTAGAAATCTCTTCAGCCTTTATGAAGCAGCAACCTATCATGAGTCTTCAGTCAGAAAGGAGACTGCACCAGCCTGCTGAAATTGCCCAGTTAGCAGCCTCTCCTGAAATTCCACCTTTGGAAAGGCCTGTCGCCCTGTCAGTCAAAGGTGAGACTAAGTCGAGAGCCAAAACTGGCACAGGGGTTGAGCAGAAATAGGGTACAGGTTGAACCTCTCTAGTCTGGAATTCTCGAGACCTGACCGGTTCCAAACCAGAAAATTTTCTGGACTATGGGAGGTCAATATTGTCTAGCACCATTACCAACACTTCCACTGCTTACTGGACTATTAGAAGACATTTAGGGGTAAATTAGAGTTAAATAACACTGAGAGCCAGGACCAGTGGCTGTAAATACATTTTATGGGACCATAACCCATGAAAAGTGGACATCCAGCTAACTAAAATAATTCTGGATCATGGATGTTTCCGAATTAGAGAGTTCTGGACCAGAGAGGTTCAACCTGTATTAGTGTCATGGAATCATAATTTACAGTCTTGTGCATTTTAAAAAGGTGAGGGGGAAAAGTGATTTCCTTCTAGTGCAAGGGAGGGGAGCAAAAGAGAGGGTGTGAAGGAGTGAGATTTTGTAGAGTTTTCAGGTGAATCAAATGAGCTATCCCAATTAGATAATTATCTGAAACCCTGGAACAGACACCAGTTGGAAACAAGTCAGTGTATAATTATCTGGCTTAACAAAGAGATACAGTCTGATTTTAAAGGACACCAGATAAATTTCAAAGATAGATGGACCATTTCTTGATTAAGCATTCAGAGTCAATGCATGCGACTTACATTTTTGCCATCAGTTTTAGCCCAAGCAGGGGTAGGCCTCTTGAGCACCTGAAAAGCATAACTTCAGCTATAGCTAGAGCATAACTGACAATAATCCAAGTCCAAGGTATGCTACAAAAAAACTACTCTTGCAATTCGTATGTTAAAGGCAGTTTTCAAAAGAGCTATCTATAATAATAGAAACATAGCTTGTTTTTCTCCTCTGCTACAGAAAAAGTGTATTAAAGTTCTCTGACTGCTGGTCCCCTAAAAAAGCTATTAACATGACAAAGTAATGCAGTTGTGGGTAGATAAGAAACCATTCTGAGCATCTAGCATGACCTCTAGCATAACACAGGCTACAGAATTTCACCAAATGGTCCCCAAATCCCGACCAATACCTTATGACTGACTTTGAGCATATCTTTAGAAAGATACCCAGGCTTTCTTCAGAGACTTCAAATGATGGAGAATCTGCCACATCCCAAGGCAAATTATTCCAAAGGTTACTTACCTTCGCTGTAAAAAAAGTCATGCTGCATTTCTAGTCTGAATTTCCCTCATTTCCTCTTCTAACCTTGGGAATTTTTTATGCCTTTATCTGCTAGATAAAGAGCCCTCAACCTATCAGAAATTTTCTCCCCATCTAGGGCCTGGTCTGTACTACAGCTGATGTTCATCTTAAAATAAGCAACTCTAGCTATGTAAATTACATAGCTGGAGTCGGTGTATTTTAAATCGCACTGTCCACATAGCGAGAGGTCAATGGGAGAAAACACTCCTGTTGGCTTCCCTTACTCCTCGTGAGGAGCAGGAGTAATGGCCTCAATGGGGGGTGCCCTCTGAGTTTGATTTAGCAGATCTTTACTAGACCTGCTAAATCAAACCCCAGAAGATGGACCATGGCAGTGTCAACATGGCCTAGATACCTATAGATTGTGAAGGGGATGTGGAGTCAAACTCCTCTCGTATGATGCAGTTTGGGGAGCAGTGTGTTAGGGAGCCACGACAAGGACTGTGTGCTCAAAGGGAGGCCTGGGGGCAGTACAGACCTGGGTATCAGATGGCACAGGGCATCCTATCATTAGCAATAAGCTTTCCTGAGAAGAACACAGCCTGCACCCATTATTGTTATTTCCTGAGACAGATGTCTGAATTAGTAATAGACTATCATCCATAGCCATGATGAACACCACTTGGGCCTGCAATCGGTCTTAATTGTTTTTATTTTATTCCTTTTCCACCTGCAGGTAAATTTGACAATCCTGTAAGACAGGGGTGGGGAATGTTTTTTAGGTCAGGGGCCAGTGACCCACAGAAAAATCAGTTGGGCACCATACACCAGTGAGAAGCAGGGAGACTGGAGCACCAGCACAGGCTCCCCAATGCTGGAAGGGTGTCCCCCAGCCTTGAGGGTCAGAATCAGGCAAGCCTTACATTTCCCACACCTGCTGTAAGATGAATCCTGTGGACACACCTTGGGTCTTAACTCGACTATTTATTGTCACCGAATGGGAAAAATTGCAAATCAGAGAAAAGCAAAATCAGGAAGTAATTTCCTGTTAAAGGGAATATGAGCCTCCCTCTGACCTGGATGTCTAGCTCCCTACCGTTAGACTATAAAATAAACTTGGCCCCAAAGGAAAGGGGTCCAATTTGGAGTTGACTGTTACATGATGGAAAGCTCCCAAGAAAACTGTAGTAGATTCACATGCAAACACTGAGTATTTTCAACATGTAAAAGAAAGATCTGTTAATGACCAGCTCACCGACCTCCCCATGCCCATCTTCAGATAGCATATCAAAATGTTTCCTAAGGAAAATCAAACCGTTCTAATCTAATTTGGGCCTACGGATGCAACCCCATGCTCAGGATGGCCATAAAACTCTGAATGCCAGAAGCCAGGAAGGACATCCAGAGGTATTGCTCTCCAAAACTGCCCTGTTCTGTACACTGCCCCAAAGTTCAGGTGCTGGCTGCAAACTGAGACAGGTTACTGGGTCTCAATGGATCATTGGTCTGAGCTAATGTGGGGTTCTTATATTTAGTCTGATTTGTGCTTAATCTTCATCCAAAAGAACTTTACATTGCGATTTTCTCTGACTAAGGAAAGCGTAAACCAGGGTTGGGCAGGCCTTAGCTGTTTTGAACCTCTAGTGGAGCATGCGCGGTGCTGCCCCCGCCCGGCCCAGCAGCCCCACATGGTGCCCCCTACAGTGGGGCGCCCCAGGCGGTAGCCCGGCTGGCCCATACATTGGGCCGGCTCTGAGGTTATGGGTACGGAAAAGAGGGTCTCCTAACCAATTCAACCCAGAGAAAGTTTTCTTCTGCTGTTAGGGGGCTATCCTGGAATTTGGGAGACCTGGTTTCAGTTCTATGCTCTGCCACAGATTTCCTGTGTGACCTTGTGCAAGTCACTTTGCTGCTCTGTTCCTTAGTTTGCCGTCTGCAAAGTCAGGATAACAGCAATTTCCTAACTCAGAGCGGTGCTGTGAGAATAACTCCATGAAAGATCATGAAGTGGCTCAAACTCTGGAAATGGGGGTCAGAAGGACCTACGAAAGGTAGGTAGATTCCTAGTTCCTGGAACAGAGCCCTGGGGCTGTTGACTGTGGAGCTGCTATAATTTTCACTGGGGATCTAGCCCACACAGAACTGGTCAGATCACAGAGGGCACAAAAGTGATTTTGAGACATTTTGTGCTCTAGGTATGTGGAGCACTCCTACTGTCTCCTCCCCTGCTCCTCTCCCCCCCACGAGAGTATGTCACCCTATGCAGGTGATCATCACTTACAGCTTCTTCCTGGTTCAAAAGTGACTTTGTTTTTCCATTCTAAGCTGTTGCTTTTTAAAAAGTCAGAATGGCCTGTTTTCTGAATGAATCCCCCTCGTTTTGGGCGGAGACATGAAAACCTTTGCTAACACAAGGGCGACAGTTTACTAGTATGCCACTAAAATAGCAACACCTATTGGCACAGTGTATGTGTCTATTAAATATGTGTTACAAAAAGTATTAGCCCCTTCTATCAGTGGCTTCTCCTTCACCATGCTGCCTTGCAAACAGCGTTCTTTTGAAAGTTGGCTTTGCATCTTTGGGTGCCCAAGCTGATTTCACGGCCAGGTTTGCCACTGCTGTGGGAAACAGGCTCTGCATGCAAGCCAGCTGAAGTCATCCGGGCTGAAAAGGACTAGCACTGCCACCGCCACTGTAAATGTGCCATTGGACGCAGCCTTTTCACAGGGCTGGGTAAGGAATCAAAAATCCAAGGCAATAGTGCCAGCTTGATACCTTCCCATTGCTTACGATGGCTAATCCTGGGCAATCGTTACTTAAAGTAAACCACTTCCATCCCTTACAAAGAGACATCAGCAGTTAAGCAGAGAGGGACTGCTTCTATTCTATGGAGAGTTTTACACCAGCCTCATCACTGTTGTCCCTGGGCACTTTCCAGAAGTGCCCTCCCATAATACCAGCCAACAGGAAGGTGGAGCTGTGCCAAAATGGTACTTATCCAATGCAGGGAGAAGAGAGGAGATTTTAATAGAAAATGGAAAGCCGTGCTTTTTCACCCTCTTCTCCTTTTACTTCAACTCCCCCATAGAAGGAACGCATGACATACTCTGGTAGACTCACTTCCAGCTCTACTGCCTCTCCTATTACGTAAAACAGCTCTGACTTGTCATTTTCACTCAGTATTCCATTCCCGGCATCTATCATTTCATGGCTTATAAGTGATTTAATTTCTGCATCTTTCTTAATTAACATCTGCACCTGCAGAATTCTTGAGTACAGGTTGAACCTCGCTAGTCTGGTACTCTCTGATCCAGTAACATCCGTGGTCCGGCATGATTCTAGTTAGCCAGATGTCCACTTATCATCGATGTGACCAAATTTCCCGTGGTCCCATAGAGTTGGTTTATAGCTCTCAGTCCTGGATTTCAGTGCTCTGTGCTGTTATTTAGCTCTACTTTACCCCAAATGTCTTCTAAGAGCCCAGTAAGCAGGGCAAGTGTTGGTAATGCTGCTTTACAATATCAACATCCTGTAGTTTGGCAAACTCTCTAGTTCAGCACCGGCCAGGTCCCTAGGGTGCCGGACTATAGAGGTTCAACCTGTAGTTATTTCTAGTTAATTCATGGCATATATACACATTTTTCTTCTAAGTAAAATAATAAAGAAATCAGAATGGACTATTTCTATCCTTCTAAAATGTTCCATATCATTAACTGTGGCTACATCTAGACTGCAAACTTCTTTTGGAAGAAGTTTTTCCGGAAGAGATCTTCCAGAAAAGCTTATTTCGAAAGAGAGCATCCACCCAGCAAAAGCGCAATGAAAAAGTAATGTGATTTTTCAAAAGATAGTATCCAATCAATGTCAACACTATCTCACATTTAAGTTGTGATTAGTCTGGACGGAGTGGCTACCAGGGCACCTGTGTTATTTCCTGAAGGCCTCTTCCCTTCAAAACTCCCTCTTCTGCATCCACAGACGCCTTTTCCTGAAAAAGCTTTTTTCTCGTAGAATGAGATTTACCACCGTTAGAAAAACCTCTCTGTTCTTTCAAAAGAACTCAATGGCAGCGTGGACGCAAGTATTGTTTTTCTGGAAAAACGGCCATTACACTACACTACAATACTGCAGTGTAGACGCACTCTGTTTGAGATAGTAAGGCTGTTGGCCCTTTGAAGTTACATAATTTGGAACCTCAAGAAAATCATTAGTGTCAATAGAACAGCCTAGCCTTAGGGTGTGTCTAGACTACAGAGTTTTGTCGACAAAAGTTCACTTTTGTCGACAAAACTCTACCTGCGTCCATACTACCACTGAGTTCTGTCGACATAATGTCGACAGAACTCAGCAGTTTTGTCGACGCTGGTAAACCTCATTTTACGAGGCATAACGCCTTCTGTCGACAGAATTTCTGTCGACAGAAGGTGTTATTGCATGTAAACTGTCCTTTGCATCTACACTACCATGTCGACAAAGCAGCTTGCTTTGTCGACAGAACTCAATGTAGTCTAGATGCTCTTTGTCGACAGAAGCCTGTAGTCTAGACGTACCCTTAATGGGTAGAATGGCAAACATTTCTTCAGAGATCCTTTTTCCTAGCACTGCTTTTCTTCCTACTTAGGCGATAGTGAAAAGATTGCCGTTTGCTACAGCAGCTGCAGGCCCAGTATTAGGCATGGCTCCTCACGAAGTGGTCTTTGCTGTCTGTTTCACACAGGAGCCCTGCATTATTAGGGGAACTACTTTATAGCCTTAAAATGGTACATTGTTTTTCTGTTGGGGTGCTGCTGACAGGTGAATTTTGCTTATTATGAGCTCTGTAAAACTTTTTTTATCTCATAAGTAACAGCATTCTAAGTACTCTGACTGGTGTAAGATTACGAGCTTCAATGGAACTATGCCAGTTTAAGACCTGGCAATTAATCGTGATCTGGTTATAAAAGGCAGCCTTTACTAAGGACCATCTCTAGTAAGTCATGTTGTGTCTTATATCAACCAGTTTAGCTGTGCAATTTCCACATGTTTGTCCAACCTTCTGTCAAGCGCACTTCCACAAGGCAAATTAGTCTGGTTGGTCTCTTGGGTGTTGCAAAGACAAGGGTTTACTGTGTCATGATATAAGGCAGTATCTGTTTTTATTTTCTAATATTCAAGATTATAATAGGTAAGGATAGCAGATGTAGGGACTGGAGCTCGGAGCTAGACACACTTGTGGAATTTTGATTGCAAGTTTTCTTATTTTTCTTGAGACAGCACTGAAAGATTTTATTTCTCTCATTTTTTTTAAAAGGTTGACCTGCTCATTTTCATAAGCCAGCTAAAAAATTTCTTACATTAGGTGCCACATTTTCAAAAAAGCTTTGCTTTGGGGGCAGATTTTCAAGAAAGTTTAGCTCCCATGTAATCAGCAAATAAGGGACCAGATTCCCAAAAGTGCTCTGGTTATGTGGAACTGAGTTCTTATAAAAATCTGGCCATGGATATCACAGTGAGAGCTGGTGGATGTTGTGCAACTTTTGAAAATCTTTCCCTTATTTAGATGCCTGCTTGAAAATCTGGCCCTCCTGGTGAAGGAAAAAGTAAGAATCTGTGCGTAAATCTACCAAAGATACAGTTCAGTGTCTGGGATTTCTCACAGCTTTCTACAGAAGCTTCAAGTACTTACCTTTAGGAAAATAAATTTATTCAAAATTTTGAGAACAAAATAGCCCCAGTATAGATGGAGTCCTTGCAGAATTAAAAGTGGCACGTTGTAGATGAAATACGCTATAACCATTGTGGAGGAATAATATGAACACAGATATAATGTACCACGTAAAATCCTGAAAAATAAAGAGAATTGTTACAAAACAAGGAATCCATTGTGCGTGCCTGAGCTATTGGTTAATATAATCACTTTACTATATACTCAAAATATTTAAAACTGCACACACAAAATATTCAGTAACAAATCTTGGCTCTACTGGAATGCACCGTATACTATTAAAGTAGTCTTCCAAAGCTAAGCATTTTGAGAGTGGCATGAAAATGGTTTTAATATGGTTTAAAAATTCCATGATCTCTGAACAGGAAAGTGTATGCAGAAGATACATATTGCTATTCAAAAGATTTTCTCCACCATTTTCAATGGTAATTCCCACCGATCTCTAGGCCCAATCCTGAAATCCTTTCTAGTGAAAACCAGACAGAATTTAGTATTTGTCTCTTTGTTAATGAATTCATGTGCTTATTTTGTCTTGAGCCTCATCTTCTATTTCATAGCTAGGTTTTCTGTTTTTCTTTTATACTCTTCAGTTGCTTCCCTTACTCTTTCCAAACTTAAGAGTGATGACACAAGACTCCATAAAGCAAAATGCCTGCTGGAGACTGCTTGTGCAATTAAAAGGACAAAAAAGACAAAAGCTGGGGGCATTTTGGAAATACACAGACTGACAAAGAATTAAGAAAGGGTTGGGCAATCAATATGCAAGCATATTATTAATATAACCAGCAGTGGGGTCAACAGACTGACCAGGCCCCAGACCAAGCAGGAGGGGGGACAGCTCTGCACCCAGGAAGGGGTGGTCCTTGGGGCAGAAGGGGCGGGGCTGGAATTAATCTCCCTCAGCACAGCCTGGAGAGCGCTGTGTAGGGCTCTAATGGCAATTTAAAGGGCCTGGAGTCCAGCCACTGCCACTGTACCGGTGGTGGCAAGTGGGAACCCTGAGCCCTTTTGAATTGCTGGCCCCCCGAGGCAGTTGATCCTTTTGCCCTCCTCCTCCGTTGGCAACCCTGTAGCCATCTTGTGTCCCTGAAAAAAATCCACTGTCGCAAACTCAAGCTACGATGCACATCTTAAGAATTTTAATGAGCCAAGATTAGGTACTGTCCCCATTGTATTTATCATTTAATGGCTGCTATTTTGACCTCTGAAAATGAATTATAAAGATGTTCTCCTGAAGCCATAACCCAGCCAGGTCCTTTTCCTTCCTGTCCAAACCTTACCCAACCTCCATCTGAAAAGAAAATGAGTGAGGACGTGTGACTGAACCAAATGGTACTTACCAAAAAGGGAAAAGGACAATCCGTGTGATGAAGAACACAACAGAGAAGATGACGAAGAGAACATTGCAGGTTTTTTCCCATCGAGCGTAATTAAACATTTTGGCTGACTAAAATTGAACAAAAACCAACCGGACATGTTCAGAGACAGTCACAGGTTCCTATGTAAGTTCTGATCAATAAGGGTTTAGATTAAAGAGACTTCCCATCCCTTGTGACAAATAAAGCAACCGTTTTAATATTATGTGATAAAACAATAACCAAACATTGCAAAGAACAGGTCTCTGTGCCTAAGGCCTTGCAGCAACTCTCTAGTTAGAACATTAAGTTAGTTGCAAGACCTTCCATTCCCAAGGTTTGCACCAGATTTAAAGGGGCCGCAGTCAGGGAGGAGAGGGGAGAGACAGGCCCTGCTACACACTCAGGAACAGCCCCTTATTTAGCCATCAGTGGCTAGCAATCAGCACTGTGGCACCAGAGCTGGCCAATGAGAGAGGAGAGAGATGTCCCAGAGCCTAGTGATTTACAACGGCCCAGGGTTCCTGGACACTGCTTCCATTACCACGGCAACAGCAGGCCTTTTAAATCACCACTGGAGCCCTGGGCTGTACTGAAGAGCTCGCTGCGGAAAGCTAGCCCCCGACCCTGCCCCTTCATCTAAGGGTGAATCCCTTTCAGGTCCAAGACTCACCCCCTCCCCCACACACCGTGCCAAGGGTCCAGCGAAGTTTGTCAGCTACCTTGGATAAGGGCATGCTGATGTGTCTCCCTCAGTGCCTGATGCACAGAAGATATGTTCCAGCTTGGCTCTTTAATTCACACTCTAGAGCTTATGCTTTCAGTGCTGGAAGCCTCTGGTTCAATCTAGTGTAGTGGCCAAAGCTGGGTCTCCCACTGATGGAATTAATCGAGGTTTGTCTCATTCATGAAGCCTCAGCTAGCCTTCTACCATATTGTATCTCCCCCGCAGTCCCTAGAACATGGGTTCCCAAACTGGGGGGCATGAAGAAATTCCAGGGTGGGGGTGCGAGGCGATCCAACCTCCCCTCCTCCCCCAATCAAGTTTTGTTGCCCTGTTCAGTTCCTTTTTTCCTTTTCTTTTTGCTCAACAAGTTTTGCTGCTGGTTTGGGGGGGGTGTCAAAAATCAAAAAGGGGGGCGTGATGCCAAAAGGTTTGGGAACCACTGATCTACACCTAACCAGTGCAGGCACCCCAATTATTGGCCTGAGATAACTGAATCAGGGCTCCCAAGGGCGGACACAGCTTCCTGGCCCATCCTCTGCTCTTAGTAACACACGTGTAAATCTAGAGTAACTCCACAATGAAAGCACCACTATGTGCTGGCTCTGCTGCAAAGGGGCAAGTTTCACCTAGTGGAACTCAATAGACATGCCACACACAGAGAGCACTAAGGGTCAGCCCACAGGGGTAAATGCCTAAGAAGTTAAGTGAATCTGGATAACATTACAGATGCTAATCCAGACCAAACCTCTTGAGATTTACCCATCACTACAAACTACCCAAAGTTTGACCTATTTTGTTTCAGTCTAATTGCAAAAGAAGACCAATCAAAGGCACACAGTTGAAATTTTAGCCCCAGTTTTACACTACGGGATTTCTCTTCCTGTCTGTTTTCAACTGCCCAAAGTTATTCAATGACAAGGGATCAGACTAGATGATCTAATGGTCCCCTGGGCCTTAAAAATCTATGAAAACATTTCTTACTGAGGTTGAAAAGGGGGAAAAGAGTGACAAAAAACCTGCCACTGAACAAAACCTGAACAGTAAAATTAAATGCCAGGTTTACCTCGAGCCAGAAGTCTGCAGCATCATGTACAATCATCACTAAGGACCCAATACGAACGTAATTGCTGCACCAAGAACAGGCCAACAAAACAATGGCCGCCACATGGTGAACGACGTGGGCCATAAAGTCCTACAAATGAAAATAAATCACAACACTTAAAAGCAGAACACTTTTCAAATCAGACATTTAAAACATGACGTGGCACAGCAGTGCTTGCAGCCAAACGAGAGGGTGCATTGGAAAAAGAATGGTTACTTACCTGTAACTGTTGTTCTTCGAGATGTGTTGCTCATGTCCATTCGAAGTAGGTGTGCGCGCCGCGTGCACCACGTCTTCCGGAGCGTTTTCCCTAGCGGTACCCGTAGCACCAGCGGGGCGCCCCCTGGAGTGGCTCCGCCATGGCGGAGCATAAGTACCCGGGGAAAACGCTCCGGAAGACGTGGTGCACGCGGCGCGCACACCTACTTCGAATGGACATGAGCAACACATCTCGAAGAACAACAGTTACAGGTAAGTAGCCATTCTTTTCTTCTTTGAGTGGTTGCTCATGTCCATTCGAAGTAGGTGACTACCAAGCTAACCCCATGGAGGAGGGGTCGGAGCAGTCATACCAGCAGAGTCATGAAGAGAAGTGAACAATAAAACTGATTTATTTGAACAATCCAACACTTATAAGGCACATATTTAGAACAATGGCAACAGGACATTATTAACCTATTTACAGTATCGACTCGAGGACTGCAGAACCCACACCTGCATCCTCCCTAGCTTGCAGAGATAGCGCGTAATGCGCTGTAAATGTGTGGAGGGAAGACCACGTGGCTGCCCTGCAAATTTCTGTTATTGGAACCTGGGCACCAAAAGCCACCGAGGACGCCTTCACCCTGGGTGAGGTTTTACCAGCCAGTTGATAACACTCTGCTTTACATTGCACCACCCATCTTGATAACCTTTGCGTAGAAATAGGCGAACCTTTCCCCTTATCCCCAAACGCAATGAACAATTGTTGGGATTTACAGAAGGGATTGGTTCGGTCAATATAGAATGCCAGTGCTCGCTTGGCATCCAGGGAGTGTAGTACGCGCTCCTTAGGGGAGGCGTGGGGTTTAGGGAAGAACACCGGTAGATAAATCTCCTGTGACAGGTGAAAAGGTGAAACCACCTTCGGGAGGAAGGCCGGATGAGGCTGTAGCCTTACGTTATCGTGCGAAAAAACAAGGTAGGGTGGTTCTATAGTTAGCGCCCTTAGCTCTGATACCCTTCTAGCAGACGTAATGGCTACTATGAAAGCAACCTTCAATGAAAGGTGCTTCAATGAACATGTAGCCAATGGCTCGAAAGGAGGGGATATAAGCCTGTGTAGGACCAGGTTGAGGTTCCAGGCAGGGTGCGGAGCCCTCACCGAGGGGTACAATTTCTCCTCCTGCCATAGCAACATGGAAGGCGGAGAGAGATGCCACATGGACTTTGATAGAAGAAAAGGACAGGCCACTAGATCGGAGTTGAAAGAGATATTCGAGAATAGTTGGAATAGGGGCCGAGGACGGGTGTACTCCTCTCCAGGACGCCCAAGACGAGAAGCGCTGCCACTTGGCAGCGTACGACCGTCTAGTAGAGGGCTTCCTGCTGCTAAGGAGCACCATCTGTACTTGTTGGGAACATTCCCTTTCCGGTTGGTTCAACCATGGATAAACCAGGCCGTTAGGTGAAGAGACCGGAGATCCGGGTGAACCATTATCCCCCCATCCCAAGGTTGAGTTAGCAGGTCCCGAACTGGAGGGAGTGCTATAGGGTCTTGGGTCAGCATGTCCACCAGGATGGGGAACCAGAACTGTCTGGGCCACCTGGGGGCTATGAGGATGATTGAGGACCGAAAAGTTCTCGCTCTGGTCAATACCCTGGAAATTAGGGGAAACGGGGGAAAAGCATAGAGAACGCCCTTTGGCCACGTGGTCGTTAGGACGTCGCCCCTGGAGAATTTCCCCAGCCCCAGCAAGGAACAGTAGTTCCTGCACTTGGCATTGCGTGCCGAAGCGAACAGGTCTAGGAGGGGATAGCCCCACCTGTGGAAAACCTGCCTGAGGACAGAGTCCTTGAGCGACCACTCGTGGGCTCCAAAGGATCTGCTCAGTGTGTCTGCTAGCAGGTTTTTGCACCCGGGGAGGTACTCCGCCTGAGGCGTGATATTGTGCGTGACACACAGGTGCCAGAGATGCAGGGCCTCCTTGCAGAGGGGCGGCG